GCCCCGCACAGACACACACTCGCCCCGCACAGACACACACTCGCCCCGCACAGACACACACTCGCCCCGCACAGACACACACTCGCCCCACACAGACACACACTCACCCCACACAGACACACACTCGCCCCACACAGACACACACTCGCCCCACACAGACACACACTCACCCCACACAGACACACACTCACCCCACACAGACACACACACACCCCACACAGACACACACACACCCCACACAGACACACACTCACCCCACACAGACACACACTCACCCCACACAGGCACACACTCGCCCCACACAGACACACACTCGCCCCGCACAGACACACACTCGCCCCACACAGACACACACTCGCCCCACACAGACACACACTCGCCCCACACAGACACACACTCACCCCACACAGACACACACTCACACACCCCACACAGACACACACTCGCCCCACACAGACACACACTCGCCCCACACAGACACACACTCGCCCCACACAGACACACACTCACCCCACACAGACACACACTCACACACCCCACACAGACACACACTCACACACCCCACACAGACACACACTCGCCCCACACAGACACACACTCACACACAGACACACACTCACACCACACAGACACACACTCACACACAGACACACACTCACACACAGACACACACTCACACACAGACACACACTCACACACAGACACACACTCACACACAGACACACACTCACACACAGACACACACTCACACACAGACAAAACAAAGATACAAAGATCCCCCGTATAGCCTTAACAGACTGTAGGGGCAAGTGCTGTTAGCGAGCACCTATGAAGGCCGGAACGGTACACGAGGGGGTGGGTGGCCAGCACCACGCCCGACCGCCTTTGTCTCCCTAGTGGCAATGTTTACACACCACACCAGGTTCTCATTTGAGGCTGAGTCGACCTAGGGGAGGCCCGGGACCGGTTCAGATAATCGTCACTGGTGTTGGCCGTGAGCGGGAATCGAACCCGGGTCGCCGGGTTCATAGCGCAGCGCGCTAACTGCTACACTACAGAGACACACACTCACACACACTCACACACACTCACACACACTCACACACACTCACACACACTCACACACAGACAACAAAGACAAAGATCCCCCATATAGCCTTAACAGACTGTAGGGGCAAGTGCTGTTAGCGAGCACCTATGAAGGCCGGAACGGTACACGAGGGGGTGGGTGGCCAGCACCACGCCCGACCGCCTTTGTCTCCCTAGTGGCGATGTTTACACACCGCACCAGGTACTCATTTGAGGCTGAGTCGACCTAGGGGAGGCCCGGGACCGGTTTAGATAATCGTCACTGGGTGTTGGCCGTGAGCGGGAATCGAACCCGGGTCGCCAGGTTCATAGCGCAGCGCGCTAACCGCTACACTACCACTCCCCACACACAGACACACACTCACACACAGACACACACTCACACACACTCACACACAGACACACACACAGACACACACTCACCCCACACAGACACACACTCACAGACACACACACACAGACACACACTCACCCCACACAGACACACACACACAGACACACACTCACCCCACACAGACACACACACACAGACACACACTCACCCCACACAGACACACACACAGACACACACTCACCCCACACAGACACACACACAGACACACACTCACCCCACACAGACACACACACACAGACACACACTCACCCCACACAGACACACACTCGCCCCGCTCCGCGATGGGTGTCCGTTCCTGTGTGCTCAGATAATTATCTGAACCGGTCCTGGCCCTCCACTAGGTCGACTCAGCCTCAAATGAGTACTTGGTGAAGTGTAGTAAACATCTCCACTGGGGAGACAAAGGCGGCCGTGCGTGGCCCTGGCCACCCACCCCCTCGTGTGCCGTGTCGGCCTTCATAGGTGCTACTCGCTAACAGCACTTGCCCCGACTGTCCGTCAAAGGCTATACGGGGGATCTTTGTCTTTGCGTGAGTCACGTTTGGGCGAGGCGGTAGCGTAGTGGTTATGGCGCTGTGCCACGGAACGAGACTTTTGAGTTCGGTTCCCAGCGGCGGATAACATTGGTAGCGGGTACTTGGTGAAACGCCAGCACTGGGGGAGACAAATAGGGCCGGGCGTGGGTGCTGATCACTCCAGCCCCCTCGTGCGCCGTCCTTCATGAGGTGCTCACTCGGAGCACCTGCCCACAGCGGTGTGTTGAGCTACACGGGGATCTTTGTCAGTGGTTGTTCCTGCGCGGACATCGCCTGCCCACGCAGGAGGAGGGGGGAGGAGAAGGAGGGAGAGGGGGGGAGGAGGGAGAGGGGGGAGGAGGGAGAGGGGGGAGAGGGGGGGAGGGAGAGGGGGGGAGGGAGAGGGGGGGGGAGGAGGGAGAGAGGGGGGGAGGAGGGTGAGGGGGGGAGGAGGGAGAGGGGGGGAGGAGGGAGAGGGGGGGAGGAGGGAGAGGGGGGGAGAGGGGGGAAGGGAGGGAGAGGGGGGAAGGGAGAGGGGGGAGTGAGAGGTGGAGGAGGAGGGGGGAGTGAGAGGGGGAGTGAGAGGGGGAGTGAGAGGTGGAGGAGGGGGGAGTTGAGGGGGGGGAGTTGAGGGGGGGGTTGAGGGGGGGGAGTTGAGGGGGGGCGAGAGGAGGGGGCGAGAGGAGGGGGGGGCGAGAGGAGGGGGGGGCGAGAGGAGGGGGGGGCGAGAGGAGGGGGGGGCGAGAGGAGGGGAGGGGAGGGGAGGGAGGAGGGGAGGGAGGGGAGGGAGGAGGGGAGGGGAGGGGGGGAAGGGGAGGGAGGAGGGTAGGGAGGAGGGGAGGGGAGGGAGGGGAGGGGAGGGGAGGGAGGGGAGGGAGGAGGGGAGGGAGGGGAGGGAGGAGGGGAGGGAGGGGAGGGAGGAGGGGAGGGAGGGGAGGGGAGGGAGGGAGGGGAGGGGAGGGAGGGAGGGGGGGAGGGGAGGGAGGGGGGGAGGGGAGGGAGGGGGGGAGGGGAGGGAGGGGGGGAGGGAGGAGGGGAGGGAGGAGGGGAGGGGGGGAGGAGGGGAGGGAGGAGGGGAGGGGGGGAGGGAGGGGGGGAGGGGGGGAGGGAGGGGGGGAGGAGGGGAGGGAGGTGGGGGGGGGAGGTGGGGGAGGTGGGGGTGGGGGAGGTGGGGGGGGGAGGTGGGGGAGGTGGGGGGGGATGTGGGGGGGGGGAGGTGGGGGGGGAGGTGGGGGAGGTGGGGGAAGTGGGGGGGGGAGGGGGGGGAGGTGGGGGGGAGGGGGGGGAGGGGGGAGGGGAGGGGGGGGAGGGGGGAGGGGAGGGGGGGGAGGGGGGAGGGGAGGGGGGGGAGGGGGGAGGGGAGGGGGGGGAGGGGGGAGGGGAGGGGAGGGGGGAGGGGAGGGGGGGAGGAGGGGGGGAGGAGGAGGGGGGGAGGAGGAGGGGGGGGAGGAGGAGGGGGGGAGGAGGGGGGAGGAGGCGAGGGGGGGGCCTCCCCACTCGCTCACCGACGCCACTCACCACGCCGCTCCGCGCTCTCGCCGGGGGCTGCCCCCCCCCGCCCCTCTCCCGCCCCACCCCGCCCCTCCCCCCCAAACAACAACATGTGCCCCCCCCCCTCCTGAGGTCGCCAACACCCCTCCCCCTCCCTCCCTCGGGTTCCCGTCGCTAGGCGACACGAAACAAACAGAGAGCGTCCACACTACTACACTCGTGTCAATATCGCGCACAGATTTTTATATTAAGCACACAAAAATGTCTCTACACAGAGTAAACACAGCCGTAAATATATAAATGTGTCGTTAGACCCGCCACCACCCGACACAGCCAACTAGTAAGGGTTATCACGTCAACAGAACGTGGCCAATTCGTCACTAGTACAGCACTAACCGGTGTGTTGGAGAGCCAAGCCACAACATTTACAATCAGAGTACGACGTTTCGCCAGTAATTACAACTAGCTTCATCAGGCGACAGCCACACACACAGGACACACACACAGCACTACACACACAGCACACCACACAGCACATACAGCACACTACACAGTACAACACACAGTACACCACACACCACTACACAAAGTACACCACACAGCACTACACACAGCACTACACACACATCACACTACACACACACAGCACTGCACACAGTACACCACACACACACAGCACACAGTACTACACACACAGTACTACACACACAGCACTACACACAGACACAGCACACTACACACACATCACACTACACACGCACAGCTCTACACACAGCACACTACACACACACAGTACACACACAGCACAAAGTACTACACACAGCACTACACACACACACAGCACACTGCACACACACAGTACACACACAGCACACACACCACACAGTACACTCAACACAGTACACAGCAATACACACAGTATACCACACACACACAGCACACAGTACTACACACACAGCATTACACACACACAGCACACTACACACAAACAGTATACACACAGCACGCAATACTACACACAGCACTACACACACACAGCACACTGCACACACACAGTACACACACAGCACACACACAGCAGACACACCACACAGTACACACACACAGTACACACAGCACGCAATACTACACACAGCACACACACAGCACACACAAACCACACAGTACACTCAACACAGTACACAGCACTACACACACACAGTACACACACAGTACTACACACAGCACACACACACCACACAGTACACACACAGCACAAAGTACTACACACAGTACACACAGCACACACACAGTACACACACAGCACACACACCACACAGTACACTCAACACAGTACACAGCACTACACACACACAGTACTACACACAGCACACACACACACCACACAGTACACACAAAGTACTACACACACACAGCACACACAGTACTACACACCACACAGTACACTCAACACAGTACACAGCACTACACACATATAGCCAGTACGGCATTCGCTCCAGAGTGACACTCACCACACGCTGCTGGTAGCTCTGAGCCCGGTGTGGAAATTCCATATTCCCATGGTGGGAGCCAGTCTAACCATCGGTGGACAATAATCTTCTACCACAAAGGTGATACTTGTTGTGTGTAGCCTTGGAGGGATTATTGAGTCGACACGCAACTTTGTAGTGAACTCATATACTTGGGACTTGCGGTTGAGTGAGATCACCATTGGCACCCAAGCCAGAAGAGGTCAGTCTAAAGTTCTAAACGACTCGCTTTCGTTTACATCGTAATCTTTAGCGACATTATGCAGCTTCAGCAAACATGTTTGTACTTGGAGTGACAAAACCGACAACCACTTATTTATTGCCGGAGGGAGGATTAGGACGAACGTGATGAGCTAACGCGGTGAGCAAGGGCAGAATCGATTCCTTTTGAGAAAGACAAAATCAACAAGTTACACCACTCAATACGGAGCGAAACGTTCAATAGCAGTAGGCCTAAAGAATGCAGCCGTCTACCAGACGCGGATGGCTGTAATTGAGCTGTGTGCAGGTATCGTGATGACTTGGCCACGAGGTCGGGCACGTGCACATCTCTTATGACATCAGCGGTGAGTTTAATTAACAATGAAAATCTATCAAATTCCGGAAAATTAAATGACTCCCACCCTCTTCGTGTTTTTAATTCAACGCACGACGCCTTCCTGAGAGACGGGGGGGACGCGGGGTGGATTCTAGCGGGAGAGGGGCGGGGCGAGGTGGGGAGAGGGGCGGGGCGAGGTGGGGAGAGGGGCGTGGCGAGGTGGGGAGAGGGGCGAGGTGGGGAGAGGGGCGAGGTGGGGAGAGGGGCGGGGCGAGGTGGGGAGAGGTGCGAGGCGAGGTGGGGAGAGGGGCGGGGCGAGGTGGGGAGAGGGGCGGGGTGGGGAGAGGGGCTGGTGGGGAGAGGGGCGGGGCGAGGTGGGGAGAGGGGCGGGGCGAGGTGGGGATAGGGGCGGGGCGAGGTGATTGTGCGGCGAATCACTGAAGCGAATCGGTCCGACGAAGGGAGATGATTTGGGGATAATCGCGTACCGTGAACTTCATAATTGAATAGTGTCCGTGTGGTGAGTCCAGTTAACCGATAACCCTGGGCAATGGGTTTTACCTGTTAAGACAGCTGCCTGCCAAGTCGCGCACACAGTACACACACACAATGTTGTCCCACGTTCGACCACATACCAGTGAATTCAAACCGCATAGCGTGACGACATTTGGATTAAAAATAGGTAAGCCTCGATATACAGCGAATCGCACAAACAGAACCCGCGTAGAGAGAGGGAATCTTGCATCGATTGCCTGCGACGATAGCTGCCAAACTCAAAGCGTCTCCTTGCTCAAGAATAAGCATCGGGCAACTGTCGACTCTAACGAAGCCACTCGGTGGAAGTTCCACATTTCTGTGACAGGGGCCATATTGTAGATCGGAGGCAACCACTTTTGACTTCCCAAAAGTGGTACTCGTTTTGCCGGCCACGAGGCCAAGATGATCGGTGGAGCTGGCCGTGAGATGAACGCCAACATGATTGACAGACGATTGACCGAGGCTGAACAGCCATCGTCATTGTTCTCCAAATGCGGAGTCGACGAAGCGATCCCGTGGCGCTCCAACCTTCATCGCGACTCCAATAAAGCCACAATTGGCAACATTCGCCTCATTTCTGTTGAAGCATAACGATGGCTTGCAGGCAGACACAATTTACAAACGTACGCATAGATATACAGTCGAGTACTGTACAATAGCTGGATGTATACAACATCGCTATGTGAATGTTTCGGCACATTCACAGCGGAGTTCAGCGACTCTGATACTTGAGCAGCCTGGTACGAGGGTTGAACGATTTGTGGAAAATATCAAATTGCGATTAATTTTTTTAAAGTCAAGCTGCAGTTCAATATTCACTGTGTAATAGATATAAAACACGTGATGGAGCATTACCACGTGATGCCATCAAAATATGAACTGCCCTCTTTATTCTAATGCAAGGATGAAAACTTAAAATATATGAATTGCTTCCAAGCTGTATTTATTAAAATGCTTTAATTGACATAGAACAACCAATTCTAGATTTAAAGCTTTCGTGACTGCTAGGATCCATACTCTTTGGTTCTATTGGGTAAAGTCACGTAAGTGAAAATAAAATAACAAAAAATCACGACGTTTCTGCCACAACACAAACGGCCTTCATCAGGTGAAGGGACGAGACTGTCTGGAGGACAGCGCTGGAGTGGGAGAAGCCACGCTTAGATCACGACCTTTAAGCTGTGTGATAAGAAAAACACCAAGCGCCTTGACAAAGGAATTAGCATATAATTTAGCATTGAAATGGCTCATTGAAATAGCTAAGTTAAGGTATACACATCCGCAGAGGTACCCCTTGACAAAGGAATTAGCATAGAATTTAGCATTGAAATAGCTGAGTGATTAGCTTGTAACTGGTCACAGAAATAGCTATTTTAAAGTCAGAGCATATACATTCACCGAGGCACCTAGTACTCATCCAACAGGAGAATTTCGCGAAACACAACCACGCTCAGACAGCGGACCTTTAAACTGTGTGCGAGCAAACAAGGTGTTCTGACAAAGAAATTAGCATAAAAATTAGCATTTGATTGGCGGATTTTAGGAAAGAGGTGGTGTATGTGCCGGTGGACTTGCCGTTTGGCGCGGGGAAGGGGGGGAGGGGGAGTTTACCTATTGATGGTGTGAAAAGGGAATTTATAAGAGCTGCGAAAGTTTGGGGTACCACTACTTGAAAAATATACTGTACCATTGAAATTAGTTTAATGTTTAGTTCGATTTAGAACATCTTTCCAATGGCTGCTTAATTTGAAACCATCCTCTCGGTTGAAATTGTGTCTGTGTTTGTAGATCTGAATTGCTTCATGAACAAATCTCTGATAAAAACCCGTGGGTTTGCAAAGAACCTTGGTATCGGAGAAAATTATATCGTGATCCCCCACAGCGTTGTAACAGTGATCAGCCACGGCAGAAGAATTCGTTTTGCCGTGTTTCAAATCTGATTTGTGCTCGCGAATTCGGTCAGAGACATGTCGCTTTGTCTCACCGATATAGCAATCACCGCAGGTACAACTCAATTCGTAAACCCTGGGGTACTGTAAATCAGGAATGACATCCTTCACGGATGGGATCAGATCACGAATTTTGTGTACTGTATTGAACCGGACCTGGATCTTGTGTTTGTTTAGAATTTTGGAAATCTTTTTAGTAACGCCTGCTATATATGGAAGTGTGATGGTTTTGACCGGAGTATCAAGTGGTTGTTTCTGTATGGAGGGAGAGACAGCTTGGCGGATGGTACGGTCAGAGTAACCATTCCTTTTGAGGGCCAGGTGTACATGTTTTAATTCACTGGTCAGGTGGTGTTGGTCCGAAATGCAATGAGCCCTATGGTATAAAGTTTTGATGAGAGAATTATTTTGGGCTGGGTGGTGGTGGGAATCAGGTTTCAAGTAGGAATCTGTGTGGGTGGGTTTCCTGTAGACAGAATGCCCCAATGAGCCATCAGGTCTTCTCTCAAACAGAACATCTAAGAATGGTGGCTTGCCATCTTTCTCCACTTCCATGGTGAATTTGATGGCGGGATGTCTGGAATTGATGTGGTGTAGGAAAAGGTTCAGAGCTGGGAGGCCATGTGGCCAAATGACGAAAGTGTCATCCACATATCTCTTCCACAGGGAAGGTCTGAGGGTGGAAGTCTGGATGGCGTCTGATTCAAATTTCTCCATGAAAATATTGGCTATCACTGGTGATAAGGGGGATCCCATGGGGGTACCCTCATTTTGTTTGTAGACGGAGCCATTCCAAGTAAAGTAGGTATTGTTGAGGCAGTGTCTAACCAGTGCAGGTGTTTCGGGGTCTAGTCCATGTTGGACCAAATTTTCAATTATTTCAATGGTATCAGGTACTGGGACCTTGGTGAACAAAGAGACCACATCGAAGCTGACAAGGATATCGTCAGGGGACAGTACAACATCTTTGACCATAGAGACCAATTGGGCTGAGTTAAGTACTGCTGAGGCGGTCTTGCAAGTGAGAATTCTAAACAAACACAAGATCCAGGTCCGGTTCAATACAGTACACAAAATTCGTGATCTGATCCCATCCGTGAAGGATGTCATTCCTGATTTACAGTACCCCGGGGTTTACAAATTGAGTTGTACCTGCGGTGATTGCTATATCGGTGAGACAAAGCGACATGTCTCTGACCGAATCCGCGAGCACAAATCAGATTTGAAACACAGCAAAACGAATTCTTCTGCCGTGGCTGATCACTGTTACAACGCTGTGGGGGATCACGATATAATTTTCTCCGATACCAAGGTTCTTTGCAAACCCACGGGCTTTTATCAGAGATTTGTTCATGAAGCAATTCAGATCTACAAACACAGACACAATTTCAACCGAGAGGATGGTTTCAAATTAAGCAACTATTGGAAAGATGTTCTAAATCGAACTAAACATTAAACTAATTTCAATGGTACAGTACATTTTTCAAGTAGTGGTACCCCAAACTTTCGCAGCTCTTATAAATTCCCTTTTTACACCATCAATAGGTAAACTCCCCCCCTTCCCCCGCGCCAAACGGCAAGTCCACCGGCACGTACACCACCTCTTTCCTAAAATCCGCCAATCAAATGCTAATGTTTATGCTAATTTCTTTGTCAGAACACCTGGTTTGCTCGCACACAGTTTAAAGGTCCGCTGTCTGAGCGTGGTTGTGTTTCGCTAAATTCTCCTGTTTGATGAGTACTAGGTGCCTCGGTGAATGTATATGCTCTGACTTTAACATAGCTATTTCTGTGACCAGTTACAAGCTAATCACTCAGCTATTTCAATGCTAAATTCTATGCTAATTCCTTTGTCAAGGGGTACCTCTGCGGATGTGTATACTTTAACTTAGCTATTTCAATGAGCCATTTCAATGTTAAATTATATGCTAATTCCTTTGTCAAGGCGCTTTGTGTTTTTCTTCTCACACAGCTTAAAGGTCGTGATCTAAGCGTGGCTTCTCCCACTCCAGCACTGTCCTCCAGACAGTCTCGTCCCTTCACCTGATGAAGGCCGCTTGTGTTGTGGCCGAAACGTCGTGATTTTTTGTTACTTTATTTTCACCTACGTGACTTTACCCAATAGAACCAAAGAGTATAGAACAACCAAACATAGAACAATTGTTAAGTCAAATGAATAAAGTTATAATAAAAAATAAAACAATTCCAATAATAGGACCTTTCAAATCGCAAAAAATCGCAGCCTTTGCGATTTGCTAATCGCATTGTTTCAAATTGCGATTTCAATTTGAAATCGATTAATCGTTCAGCCCGAGCTGGTACTCCATCTCAGGAGTAGCTTCCTGCAGAGTTTCCCCACGAGTTCTAAATCTCACCTTCCCTTCCGACAGTCTCCCGTCTCGACGTGATCTCGACTCTTGATGCGACTCCCTTCAACCCCTTGAGCCACTTCTTAGAAAGGGGGTGCTGTGGTGGTGAATCCAGGTCAAACATTGCGGTGATACATTACACACAATCACCAATACAGGGTCATTACAATGAACAACCTCGCACGCGTTTACTAGGACCGAGAGAATGTGGATTCACCTGTAATTACCAAACCGCCCATTTCCTGTCTCAAAACAAGGCTCTCTTATCAGC